TATTGCCTTCAATGCATAGCTTCTTTTCCACCCCCCCCCGCTTGACAACTCACTGACAGTGCTGGATTTATGCACCAATTTACCAGCTCGCGCGTGCAATGCGCAGCTACTTACCCCCCAATCATCGGTGAACGAAACTGTGGCAGCTACAACCAGTGTACGACCAGTACGGGGTTCTTACAGCTGATAATGATGATGATGATGAAATGTTCAAATTGCGCTCTGTCTTCTACCAGGAGTAAAATATCACTTAGATATAGTTTATACACGGGCACTTGCTGAATTTGTGTTTCTACTGATTGCTCAAACTTCACCATAAGAAATACCTGAAAATGTAGGACCCAAAGGACTCGCCATAACAACACCATGAATTTGCGTGTAGTCCTGACACTAAGAATCGCCATGGTTAGACTAAGCAGGCCTGAGTGGGTTCTTCGGTAATCACCGAAACATTTCGCTTTTTTTTGTGGAGGGACTTCAGTAAAAAGTGATTTCGCATCAAATGAATACATGATTGCATGTGGGATATCAAGATGATCCAGGTAGGGTAGGGCAGCATAGGCATTGTTCTCACGGTGCTTAACAAAAGCGGTTTGGATAGTTCTACCTACACATGGAGGCAATTTGTCCAACCAGTGTTAAGGTGATCCATTTACGGCTAAAATGGGACAAATGGGCATACGGGACTTGTGAGTTTTTGTAGCTAACGGAAATCGATAAATCCGGGGGATAAGTACATAAAATAAAGGAATAGGAACTTACGAATAACATGATAGTGCATTTGCAGGCTGTTTCTCCGGTGAAAATAAGGACGTATCAGGCAAAACTGCCTTAAACAGTTGCATATAATTCATCCTGTTTAAAAAGATAGCGCTTATCAGGTTAATGTGTCGATGTACCCTCATTCTTCTTCAGCCCACTTAATTGTTTCATGTGTTCATTCGGTAGTGCACATTTTTTGGCAAACTTGGTGAAAACAAGCGGTTGTTGAGACTAGTCAGCTGGGCTTTAAAGCAATTGTCATGCCCGTAAGAGGTAGGACTGCATTCCGCAAGTTTGTAAATAATACGTACGAACTATGCTTCTACGGCACTGCGATTTACTCACCTAGGCTTAATTTCGAATCTTGGCACAAATAATAGGTTGATTCAGTCTAGGAACTTGCTACGTATTACGACGAAACATTTAGAGAAGTCCCTTAGAAAGGGTACATCCGAAAAATCGATTCCTCGTAAAAGGCTAGGCATGATTTCTGTGTAGCAAACTGACAACCAGAGTGTGCATAATGACCTGACTTTTGTGTTTTCGTATATGGAAATATCCTCAGTAAACTTTTAAAGCATTATGATCGCCGGGTCAATTTGACCAGTTCTCTACAGTAGGTGTCAAAATGTGTTGCGGTCAGAATCGACCGCTGCTAGTCATTCGCTCACGGACCTGCCCACTAATTGCAAATGGAGAGTCAAGGGATATTTTTGTTCCCAGCTGTATAGCTTCAAAAATCCAACCAATTTAACAACAGTCTGTGGTTGACGTGACCGCACAGTGCTATCGATGTCAAAGCCTCTGCCAAGACTGGCCGTTAGTGTGGTGTGGCCTTTTGCGTAGGCGTTCAATCCACTGAGCTGTACTGAGTTCCTCCTAAATGTTTGGTCACTCGATAGGGCTCTGAAGAATACGGACATTCGTAACGTCATTACTATGCCTAGCTGATGCCTCACAGATGGTAGGTTAAGTGGGGACCCGCAACGAACCGAGACCCACAATGCATGAGGAAGGTTGCTTGGCGGCCCATAGCACCATCAGACACACCCAAAGCAGACAAGTGTTAGTGACCAGGAATTATTCTGTCCTGCTTTACGACGGTCCCAGAAAGCCACTTCTAGTCTGACTAAATAATTCGGAATTTCCAGGGTGCTGATTATGATTTTTTGCAGACACAGTCGACCGCAATGATGTTCGCTTCGGATAAGCCATATTCCAGCACTACTAATGAATTAATCCTGAAATACATCTGTATGTAGGATTTCAGTCGGCCGTGTTTCAAATTGATTGGCCGTGAACGAGGCGTTCACTGAAACCCGCTTCTTGCACCACCGCGGGCTTATCGCACCGAAGTTTTCAGTATCTTGACGCACTTGGTATGTTTTGCCGGAGTTCGAATAACTCATCCCCATACAGTCAGGTTATGAAAACTTTCTGATTTTTAACCAAAAGGTCCAGATGCATACTCTTTTGTCAGCCAGATTTTCGGTTCTTCGCACGCAGGTGATCATAGCGAATTTGAAAAGAAATTCCTCTCCGCTTCATTTACAAGCAGTTCCAGGTCCCCATCGACCTCCATTTTATCACAACACACCTGCCGTATAACTGGGCTCAAGTGAAGCCAGCCACGCGAAGTAGTTGGATCGAACCCTAGGACTACACCTCCCTTTTTGAGTGGGAGTAGGGAACAGGACTGCTTTAACTAAGGGTCATGGCTAAGCTGTCGTTGATCCCAATGCACTAACAATGCCCACTGCCTTGGTGCCTAACCGAACAACTCAGTATGTATGCCATCCTAGCTAGAACATACTAGGACAGTGGTTAGAGACGAATGATGGCATAAAGCCACCTAATAGCACATTCGCACTGTGCCATGTACTGGCACAGTTTCTTGGGTCCTCCTGATGACTTAGAGTCTTGCAGAAAAGCCTATACTGTTCCACTAGGAGCATAATCGGCAGCGCCACCTGCCCATACTGGAAATAGCTTGATAGCAAGTCTGAATGACCTCCTTTGTAGAGAGTCTGCGCACCTCCATAGAATATCTGGCTGAGTTCATTCCCTATGGTTCGTTCCGAAAGTGAGACATTCGAGCAATATACGCTTTCTCTGCTTCAATATGACCCAGCTACTCCATCCTAAAGAAGCTGTCCTATAAAGATAACTATTTGAGAAAAGCGGATTGAAAAGACATGGCAACAAAAGAAGCGGAAGCGTAAACCGCTGAGCTACATTAGGCTCCTATAGGCACCGGAAAAATTAGCTTCCGAGGTCCCATCCAGAGCTGCCCATTACCTATACATACACATGTTCACAGACACATTCAGGCTTCCTGATCCGTGTTGAGGTTAAAGTTTCCTATGCGTGCTCAGTCCCTATGCAGGGGACTAAAGCGGACAGAGGATCAACATCAAATAGGAATATTGAAACAAATCGTCAATAGCTGGTCCATTTCGAACGCTACAGATGGATTGGCAAGACAGAACAAAGGTTCCATTGTCCAGGTCATTACAGTAGCTCTGTGGTTCTACGAGTATTATGCTAAGAAGATAAAGGTGATAGGGTTAGAAAACAGAAAACCGGTCCGTCGTGGCGTCGAACAACGTCTTCCACGATCAGTTGTTTTCGTTTTAAGGGAAAAGTAAGCCCTCAGCAGTGGAACGCAAGCGTGTACGTCACAATCCCGGATAACCGGGATTTCTGGCCACGATTTTCGTTCATTCGACTGGCCAGGTCATATGCTCTACCTGACCCTCTCCGAATGGGTCTTCGACTCTATGATCAGGTCAGCTTACAAAAAAAACTCGAAAGCTTAAAATAAACGAATCAAAGGTAAAATCACGGAAGCGTAAGGAGGGCCGATGGATGCCTGCTGATGAGTCTTATGTATAGAATGCTAAGACGATATTCTCGGTAACCTAAGAAAGAAAACACTTCGTTTTCACATGAGGACATTTGTACTTCATTGAACTTGTTCAAACCGTAGCGGAGTTTCACACGTTAACAGCAGACTGCGTAACTTCTACGGATTCTCACAATCACTCGAGAAAGTTTACACCTATTCGCTAACAATTTGGACTTGCGTAGACTATTCTCTAGTTTACCGACACGAATTCTAGGTGGGTGAAGAAATGAGGATATCATATGTGGCCTGAATAGCGTTGCGCGCTTGTGTATACGGTACGATTTGCTGTCGACTGCAGCTTTATATTCTTTAGAACAAAAGAGCTCATATTTGATGCAGCTCGATTATGCCACAACAAGAGGTTCGGCCCATCCAATACAGAGTCTTATAAAGCCAAATACTGAGCGTTCTTTGAAAAAGGAACATTGTTTTCCCGCCTTCACTATGAGAAAGAACAGAACAGCTCAGTCAATGCTTTGTATTTATAATATTTTCGGAGAGTAAATGTTGAAATTATATTTTTATTCAATGACTTCCACTAATTGCGGTACATTTTGCAGACGTGAAAACTACTGGAACAGCATCGTGACTGAACGTTACCTCGAGATATATAAGTTTTAGTCATTGTTGGGCTCTTCGACAGTTTCCACCACTTGCGTCATCCATCATAATTTGGAGCCACAGCGTAAGAGACACTCAGCCTGAAATAAAAAGTTCTTTATCTTCAGCTACTGTAAGTTGCCAGTAGTGTGATAGATGTGGTTTCGAACTGACAGGTGGCACTGAAGCCGGACGGACGTGTGAATTAATGGCAGAACAGACGATACAGATGTACAAGGAAATATAGTCGTAATATTATTTAATTAGGTGATTTTCTGTACTGAAGCGTTATATTCAAGTGTTTCTGTAACCGGGACCTGTGGACTGTAAACGCGTTTTTAATTTAACCACAAAACTTCCACCTGATAACGATGACCCCCATCCAAATGAAAAATTAGCAGCATTCATGCAACATATTTGGTTGAATATTGTGAACGATAGATCCAGCATAATCTTAGCCAAGTCATTCCTTACTACTGCAATGATTTTCAGGTTTGCAGTACATTCCTTTAATTCTATTCTCGTTCTATCATTTCAACCTTTTGTTGGTTACCATGGCACGCGGTAACCACAATGTCGTTCACACATTCATTCAATGTTTGGGAAACTTCAGCCAAACCCAAAAATGAATATTCACCATACCTACCTACTTACCAAGTAAAATGCCATTTTATACATGGATTACCGATTCCCTTTCAGCTTTCCTGAGATCTGCAAAATGCCTCCTTTTTGCTACAGTGTGTAAAGCCATGAAAACAGAATGTTTTTATTTCTTGGAACTGAGAACAGAGAGTATCTGCGGGGTAATGCTCTCTAACGCTATGAATCCAACCGCATTTGCATTACCTAAGTTGATCCCTAAGTTGACAAACACATGTTCTGAAAATAAACAATACTACCATCTAACAAACGAACAAAAGAAATGAGTAAACTTACAACAAAATCTACGGGGTCTTCCGGACGTATATTAGAGCAAGCTAGCAACGCCTTTGTTAACTCGGGCATTACGTATCGCATCAAGTAATGACGCATAGGCAAAGCCTCGGCTTTGGCACACTGGTTGTTCTGTTTCTTTACTAAGTCCATCCATCCATTCTAAAATGAAGAGCGTAAGATGTGTGGGTTTTCATTCGTGTTCAAAACAATTAAATTAAAGTTTAATGGGCAAGCTTTAGAAGTCAATTTCACTTGCCCAATCGTCCTGCTGTTTCTGCAGCAGTTTGGCATTCTCTTCAGCCTCTTTGCGATTACGATCATGAATGGAATAGGCTTTTTTGGCACGCAACTTTTGTGCTTTCTGCTCAATTAGTTCCAGCATTTCATCCTCTGTAATCCTGGGTGGATGGGCTGAACAAAACGGCAGTGGAATGGCAGTTGGTCGGCCAATGGCCTTGCGAATGCGTTCCATACACTCCTCCCTGTAGGCCCCGTTGTCAGAAAGCTGAATAAACATAAAGTAGAGTTATTGATCTGTTGATATGCTTCCAAAATAACCATTACCAGTTGAACATTAGGGTTTAACACAATACCCACTTTTATGTGGATTTGACCAGAAAAAAAAACGAGTTATTAGAACTATTTAGCCTTATATTCACCATGCTGTTGCAGGCCAGCCGGGAGACAATGACCCATCATATAAGGTCGGAAATTCTCCCCTATTAGATAGACCTGAAATGACCGTAATCTGCAATATTTTGGTTTAGTTCTTGTTGCACTGCATATAAGATGGTCACAGCTTTACTCCAGTTAGTAGATATTTACTCATTGCATAATCCAGCCGAACGTCTTTTATACCGAAAACAAAGAAAAAAGGCTCTGTATATTAGGAAAGTTACTCGTCAGCTTAAGTTGACTTTCGACGGGTCCTAGCTTGAGAACTAAGATGGAAGTGGTGGGAGCTGCGGGACCTCTACATCCAGGTTTAAATCGCCAGTACCATTAGAGGCTTAAAACCGGAGTCTGATTTTTAAAGCAACAGAATTTCAGGCCACAGGGATTTAATTCACATCAGTGAGGTGCTTAGGTACATGAATATATCCCAACGTGTTGTATGCCCAAAACAGCCATCTGTATTAACCTCAGAGAATCCCCATGTATTCTATAGGGGGAAATGTTGATAGCTCAGGTAGTGTAGATGGTCTTTGGCTTGTTCGCTGAGCTGAGCAGTTTGATTGCAAACGTTCCACCACTCATCGAGGTGACATCATCAGTGCGTTAATGGGGCGCGTAGTGGTGCGTAGCGCTCGCGAAAATGTCGTTCACATACCAGCCGTTGTACTGTATTCCGTATACTTGATTTTAAGGGATCATATTCAAGTTTACCCGTGGAAATGCTGAGCACCGTCTCCAATGAATGACTCTAATTTCTTTACTTCTTTTATCCTCAGTGAGCTTCAGTAGCTTCTCGAACCATTGCACTACTGTGCACGGTTCGTGAGCTGCAAAACTGAACTGAACTGCAGACGACATTCCAGGTCTTATTAAATCACGGTCCATTAGTCAGAGTTCAGAAATCAGTGGTAAATAGACTAAGCAAACTGCCAGTCTGGTCACGTATACGAGCGTGTGTTTGCTAGCGTATGGGTGAGTGCGAACGTATGTATGTGAAGAGCCGCAAAACACCACGAACGGTGAACAGAAAGGAGGTTGTGGCCTAAATAAGTCCGGAAAAATAATAAGGAACACTAATTTCTCCCGTACTCCGCAATATACATTTACGCAGTAAAAAGGCGACTGAGATCGGGCTACGAAAATAGAGTAACAAATTACACATGGCTCCTCACCCCAAAATACACCCCCAAAACAGTGAGAGCCAAAAGCTTGTACAAGGAGAATAAAAGCCAAAAGGCAAACCAAACGGTCACCTGAAGCCTACGCACCGACAGAGCTAGTACTAAAAAGCGTTCAGTTTAAACAAAAGTAACGTAACAGAACCCTAAGAGCTTCTTCAAATGCCTCAGTGATTTGGAGAGGTAAGAACATGCTCGGTAAAGACCTATAAGGAAGCTGCGTAGCTGTTACCCCACCATTACTCGTTAAATTTGGCGGACACTCCGCATTAGCAGCTAATTATCAACTAGGCACATGCTCATCTGGCATGTCTCCCGAGCCAGGTTTCTCCACTGATGAGAATATACCGGGGTTAGCTAACGACGCGGATATCCTAGCTTTCTGACTAGTAAAAACCATTTAACAAAATTTTGATGCCGGTAAGCTTCCATTGGCTGGAAATGCTACGACATGGTGGCACACACTAAATGTGGTAGTCCCAACCAAACAATTAAAAACGATATTCCCAATCGCATTTAAATTTAAAGAGAGCGGAGTGAAGGCAAATCTGGATAAATTGACAACCAGAAGAATGGGTTTCGAGATAGGAATACATGTGTCGCAAACTTGGTGAACGCCACAAACAACTGGACAACAGCCGCAGACTGTCACCCCAATCGGTGTCACCCAGCTTGACTATTCGGAAGCCTCTAAGAGTCGATCATGACATATCTCCATAAAGAACTGCATTAGGCACTCTCAACGCCACTCTGATTCCATAACCATCTGGACAACAGAACCTTTGTAGCAAGATTCGGTGTATTATTGTGAATCCTCACACAACACAGTGGTGTAACGAGGGGCTCGGTTCTGGGACCCTAAACTGTTCAAACGATGTTCTGCCACTAACTTAAGAGCCCACCATAGCCTATGACAAAATAAGACTATACCGTCCTATCCCAAAACAACCGTTGGTAAATATTAGATTGGCACAACTACTAACCCACCGCTACACACCACTACGCTCCCCAATAATGCACTGATGATGTCACCTCGATTGGTGATAAAACGTTTGCAATCAAACTGACCAGCTCAGTGAACAAGCCAACGACCACACTGTTCTCTCATGTGGCTGCTGAGAGCGCCTGGATAACCCACGACTGGTTTTGACATTCATGATGGTTCACTAAGTAAGCAGTCCGCAAGTTTCCATTCAACCCTTTGTTCTACTTGAGCATCCAATTGTATGAATTTTTATTGCATCGTATGAACTGTATGTATTTGGCGAAGTACACTTTTTCGCAAATTAATTAAGATAAATTAATTAAGATTCAACTGAATCCTAGCTTTTTCTACCTTACTATGAACACAACAATTTAATACCTATTCTTTGAACACAATCATATCCCTTGTATATTACCGTGCCTCAGATAATGCCAGTGAACCGAACGGTACCAATCGCTTTTGACGTTGCTGGTGTATGATATCTCCCCTCGGTTATTTTCTCTTGAGTCAAAGTTTAGCAGACCTTAACACTTTCCAGCGTGACCACGAAAAAGGTGAGAATCAACGTCTTTCAAATTGAGTAACTGTCTTTCCAAGGTGAGCAACACCTTCAGGAAAATCATACGGAAAAACAGGCTTTATCAAAAGAGGAATAGTAATTACACAGTCTTATAAAGGAAACACCGAAGGCCACAGAAGCGACATTTTTGGACATTATTTAAAAAGTGCAAAGTGGTTGCAACCGTAAATTTGCAATCAGAGCACAATACAATTGCAGCGGACCAAATATCACTTTCTACATTCAGCAGAGCCAAACAACAATTCGCGGTGGAGTTACACTATATTTTTTCCGCAGGGTAGCCTATTGATTAAAACCAGTTTGAATAGTTCCCCTTCTACTGCCTTTGGACGAATATACCAGTTAGTCTACCTCGAATAAAGGGCTTTAGATCCGAGTTTATTCTAATTAGAGTCCACTAATGCTTCGACTAAACGGGAAAGTGAAGCACGGTCATTTGCTGTGCGGGAAAACCGGATGGCCACTAACCAGGAGGCGCACGCCGAGCACACTTAAGTGATATCGAGAATGCGAACGTGTTTAACGTTGACCCAAAGGCTCAACCGACAATGAATTTGGTGTCTCGACTGTACCGGCCGATGTCCAGCACTCTAGAACTTCCCGAATGATGGTACCACTGACCCCAATCAACCCGAATTATAGTCCCTTGATAGGGACACTACTGGTGAACTGAAAGTGATGACGAAAACTTTTCATTTCACTTAACTGCGTTGGTCTAGACTGGTTGTTGTGCATTCGTTTCGCATTGTTGCCTAGAAGTTTCTTGGCAAAAATTGTTTTGCATGTAAAATTTATTGTCATAACGTAAGCATGTGGTGGATCATGCGTTTTCACAGTAATAGACTGTTTGTTCAAGTAATACAGCTTCGTAAAAAAGGATCACTACTGACCGTTATTCCACGAAGTTAGAAATGAGACGGTGCATTGCGCAGAAATGCCGAAGCACTATTCTAGGTATTATAGACATCACTTTCATCAACTTCCTCATCACCCCTGATTCTAAAAACTTACAGAACTATAATCCTTTTCCATATGCAGAACCAAAGGATGTATTTCACGAACGTCAAAGTAGGCAATTACGTTCCTTTCTGTGTCGTCTGGTTGCTCGTCCATTTTGTCAAAAGCTTCTGGGAAGTAGATATCCCGCTTCTTTGTATTTTGTATCCGGCGCTGTATCACATCCTCGCAGTATTGTTTGTACTCTCGGAGTTTTTTCTCTGGAGAAGCAAATAAATAATGGTTCACAAAAGTTTCCATTAACGTTGTGTAGCATTATTGCAAGGAAATAAAAGAATGGCACCAATGTTTGTTGCTGATCTTCATCTGGGAGGTGCTTTCGGTTTTTCCTAATACTTCATCTGCCTCAAAGGGAAACAGAACAGTTGCAGAATTTTGTCAACGTTTTGATTTTACCTACTGCGGGTCAAGTAAACATGGGTAAGGTCATTGGCACTGAGAAACACTGCCGAGACTTTTGTTAACTATAGTTTGATCCAGTTTAGTTTATTATGCAGAAGTTCGCAACATACCACGAAATGGCGTTACTGATGAAAGGCTACAAAATATGATGGATCAAAGCATATTGATCCAATGAGTACCGAGCTTACAGTACTAGTTTATTGCAGCTGGCTTATTGGTATGTCAGAAAATGTAAGCACAAAATCATTTTTCTGTGAAATTTTTTCTACCGAATGCGTAAAGTCTACCTGTGATTACAGGAGCCAAGGAACTTGAAGGAAGCTCATCGTGTCGGTGTTCCAGTTAGGACACGTCTAAGATACCTGGTGCATTCACTTTGGCCCAAGAGAACATGGATCTTGATTACTGTGTACTGTCCACCCTAGAACAAACGTCCGTTTTAGAGGGGACAGTTTGACACCCGTATAAGATGTATCTTTTCCAGAGAAGTATTGTACTGTTTGACAGAGTGGCAAACAAACAAAATGACCAAGTTAGACCACCTCGAAATGTGTTTGTAGCAAGCTGACTGATTGAAGTTAGTCAAAAGAATCTGAAGGTGAAGCATGTAGGTGACTAACCCGGAAAAGTATACAGATTTTAGGGATCTGGAGAAAGTGGCATTTATAAACCTTTATAATAAAATATTACAAAACTGCTCTGAAGTGTTGGTCGAGTTTGGCACCGGATTTGAAGCAGATTGGAGAATGCTTTACTGCATTTCCGGTCATACAAGCTGCGGTCTGTTGGTTAAGTTTCGAATAAAAATAATTAACCTGAGATTATTAGAAAATTCAGGTGCACAAGTATGACGGATAGTGAGAGTCCTAGCAGCTTACTGTAGCAAGCCGGAGGTCGGTGGATCGAGAATGCAACCTGGCTTGTCTTTTCGTTCTTTCTTCTTGTACTTGGGCTTACCTCTCTCGATGTCCAATTATAATTTATAAAGTCATTCATTGGTACACCATGTTTGGATCTCTCTGGTTACTGATTTATTTTGAATGGCCATGCTTTGGGTGGCTGTTGAAAGTACACTTCTGTTCAAAGCGTACGTTCATAAAACGTTGGGACAGTTGAAGTCAGTTGCATTACTACCCATGATGAACGGAACGAATAAGGTCATTAGCATGCAAAACTTAAGTCTGTAAGATGGGCCTCATTTAGGAGGCCGTAAAATACTTTTCCGAATGTACAATTATGAACAGCGAAAATGGATACCCCATCCCTCCACAGCGAACCAAGCTTGAAAAACAGAAAATCAAGCTAACGAGACTGAATTGTGCGTGCACGATAGTGAATACGAAACTGAATCAGGACGAAGTAGGTTAAAACAGAGGAAATCCTTGACACAAGGTTCGCCAACAACTCCTCTTTATCGAAGGGCTTTTTATCAGAGCAGATGCCCCATGCCCTTCCTCAAGACTCTTGGTGATCTTAAGCAGCTTTGTTATCGTTGATGGCACACAGACATGAGTGGATTAGTGGGACCAACTATTCACAAAAGCTGATCAGTAGGCTCAGGTGAATTAGTGACCATTTGAACTGCTAGTTGCCAACACAAGTGACTGTTCTTAAGATTCGAATGAGGAACGTGAAGCAAGTAGTCTGGCGTACTCATATTGCAGGAGCAAAGGCTGCACAGATACACTCTGATTGTATGTGCATCAGCTCACTGTTGTCCGTCAGTCCATGAGAATTCCGGAGTTTGAGTGAACATTAATGAGTAATGCCACAAGTTAAGCGAATGTAAGAACGCTGCACCCCAGCAACATTTTTCTGTATACATATTGTAAATTGCAGCTTAGTTTTGGGTAAAATATCCGAAACATGAAACTAGGTTAAAAATTTGCAGAAATACAACTTCGCACGTAAATTTTATCAAGCATGACCCCGCAAGTTGAGGTTTTCTGTTATAAGCGAAGTTAACCTATGCCGAAAAGCTTAGGGGCATCGTAAAACCATTTCATCTAATTGGAAATCATAAATACATCACGAAGCTCATGCGATCTGCTGGCTTTTAGTTGAAAATCAAACCGTCAAACCACTAGGGGCGGATCAGCAGTGGGATTAACTCACACTATGGATGTAGTGCCATTTACCTTTCACTGAGGGTGTTCATATCACCTAGTATTGTGTTGACTGGGTCGTATTCAACCATTTGTTTGCGAGTTTACGAGTTCCAAATTCCCTCTTACCCGAAAACTCCTGAGATGATGATTCACAATAAGAATGGTTCAGCTATATTGTGATTCTCAGCTTTTCCACACCGATTAACTTCACTTACAGGATGGAACCTCTACTGAGATTTCCGAATTTCCGCATAATATCAATGCATCAGCCATGGAGATGTGAGTACCTCCTGGGTGCTACAGCTTTCCTGGAGTACCTGCCTACCGTCAAACGCTCCAGTCGAGGTTACCTTATCCTTTCGACAGAAATCAGGAAACTACGAACACAAACCTAATTGGTAGGCTTGTCTGTAACCAGTTCTCCTCCGGATTATCCGTCAAACCACTCTCTTTTCTGACGCAGGAAAAAAGTTACTGTTTTTGTTGCTACTGTAATTTTGTTGGTCCCTACTCAGGCGAATAACCAGTGATAACTCGATCTGCACCGATCTAGTTATTTTCACTGACTTGGTTGGCGGTGTCCAAAACAGCTGTGGTTTGGGCGCTTACACTGCTTGTTGGTCCAGCAGCAGTTGATCTGTTCGTCAACCTTGGGAATCTTCTTACGCATATGAGGTTATCGAGACGCAGAGTTCACATCCAACTTCGATCTTCATACTACTAATACAAGCAATAAAGCCGTTGATAGTCACTGAACTATAGAGGTTACATCGGTTTGGGAGAATGTTTTATCACAACGACCTTAGTATTTTCGTTGTTTCACAAGTTGGATTTTTGGAAAGACGTAACAGCTATCTACCGCCAAATCTAGTGCCTCTCAGTTCCACCAGTTCACTGAATTGCTTCTGATACCAAAAAAGGTTAGAAATTTAAGTCGTCACTGGATCCGCCGGTTCTTGAGTCTTTCTGCTGATTTCCGCGCTAGATTTCTAGCCACAAAATTGAACACAGTTTTGGTCGACCACAAATCGTGTGCATATTTGTGGCACCTACGATTAGTTTCCTATGGCATCCACCTAAACGGAGCAAGAAAATTGCTTTGTTCAACATTTTGATACATTTGAATTCTGTTCCCACAGAGGCTTGCTGGTATCCTGAAGGTGAAGTGTTCGACTTGAAAACCAGAACGGTATACTGTGGACATTAGTCGTTGGAGGATTTCGAAGGCAAATTATGTCAAACGCTCTGGCCTTTCGCGTGGTTTGCAGCCACCCGGTCATCCACATACTTGACCGTTCAGCTCACGGTCGCTCACCGGATCACGAGGCTTGTCTTTTTTGTCATGCTCACGAACCATCGGACATCGATTGTCTGCACGGCCTAGTGAGCATAGCAACAACTCCTGCGCTAACACACCCACATACACGCAAAGGACCTACATATAGGGAAACCGAACACAGTCGACACAGACTGGCGCGCGCGCAGGGAGCAGGACGTTAACCTTTCCACAAGCCCATGGACGATTGTGGGACACGTGTAGCGGTAGCACTGCGGAGAAACACGTTCCCGCCGTCCGGACTTTCACCAAGGAACTCTCACAGACGATAAGATAAGACGATATTTCGCATTACATTTATTTTATACGTGTTACAACCCATCACTGTCAACTGTATGATCTGTTCGTCAACCTTCGGAAACTTCTTACGCATATGAGGATATCGCGACGCAGAGTTCACATCCTACTTCGATCTTCATACTACTAATACAAGCAATAAAGCCGTTGATAGTCACTGAACTATAGAGGTTACATCGGTTTGGGAGAATGTTTTATCACAACGACCTTAGTATTTTCGTTGTTTCACAAGTTGGATTTTTGGAAAGACGTAACAGCTATCTACCGCCAAATCTAGTGCCTCTCAGTTCCACCAGTTCACTGAATTGCTTCTGATACCAAAAAAGGTTAGAAATTTAAGTCGTCACTGGATCCGCCGGTTCTTGAGTCTTTCTGCTGATTTCCGCGCTAGATTTCTAGCCACAAAATTGAACACAGTTTTGGTCGACCACAAATCGTGTGCATATTTGTGGCACCTACGATTAGTTTCCTATGGCATCCACCTAAACGGAGCAAGAAAATTGCTTTGTTCAACATTTTGATACATTTGAATTCTGTTCCCACAGAGGCTTGCTGGTATCCTGAAGGTGAAGTGTTCGACTTGAAAACCAGAACGGTATACTGTGGACATTAGTCGTTGGAGGATTTCGAAGGCAAATTATGTCAAACGCTCTGGCCTTTCGCGTGGTTTGCAGCCACCCGGTCATCCACATACTTGACCGTTCAGCTCACGGTCGCTCACCGGATCACGAGGCTTGTCTTTTTTGTCATGCTCACGAACCATCGGACATCGATTGTCTGCACGGCCTAGTGAGCATAGCAACAACTCATGCGCTAACACACCCACATACACGCAAAGGACCTACATATAGGGAAACCGAACACAGTCGACACAGACTGGCGCGCGCGCAGGGAGCAGGACGTTAACCTTTCCACAAGCCCATGGACGATTGTGGGACACGTGTAGCGGTAGCACTGCGGAGAAACACGTTCCCGCCGTCCGGACTTTCACCAAGGAACTCTCACAGACGATAAGATAAGACGATATTTCGCATTACATTTATTTTATACGTGTTACAACCCATCACTGTCAACTGTACTAATAACTTTTATTAGTGCGTATACCTTCTGATTTGTGTTGTGGCCATCAACAGCAGTGCACCAACAGATTCTCCTGAGAATTTTCTGGTGAAAAAAGGAGCCACAGTTAACACTCACTTAACCCTCGTCCAGCCCAAACTGATAGAAACAGAGGTCTGTCCAAAAGTGGGCAGTGAACATGACGTGACTTAGTGTGAAAGCTGTACGCTAATGCGTCCTAACCTCTCGTAAAAGCAGTAAAATAAGATCATCAGATGCACAAAATCTTTACTCATCAGAAAACACATGCGTCAAATTCAATAACCAGCAAATGGTTGGGCAACTCAATGAAGAACGGTCTTGTTCAACATTTTTAAAACGTAGTCTGTGAAAAATGCTTCGCAGTGAATCATATGTCTTCACATCTTATGAGCAAGCGAATCCCACCCAATCCAAGCAAATAAGTTCTCTTGCTGTCTGATTTTACCAAGACCCCTTCGGATAAGTATCCATTAGGCCTTTCCACAATTCAGCTTTGACGGCAAAAGGTAATCGCCCTTGGCAGAAGAATGGTTTCAAACTATATTGGTAGTATTAAGCAACTTGTGCTCAGTGGTCTATATCCAACCAATAAATGCATGCAGCAATACATAATAAGTTCTTTGTTGTAAAATAAACTAGTGCAAACTTGTGGTCATGCAATTCTGAAGCTGCACATCATAGTGAAGTTTTGTCTCCATTCAAATTAACTACAACCACACCAAAACATTTTAATGGTTCTGTCGCAGATCCGCAGAAGTTGCAACATTTGCTTGCTGTCAGACTCGACTGCACTACAATTTCCATCGATAAAACGACCTTCCAGTGGTCGATTCCCTTGAATGCCCACAACCTTCCTGAAAGGAAACAAGTATTGAAACAAACCACTTTTGCTGAGTGTATGCGAGCGGTCTGTAGAACCGAAGAGAATTTGTTATGCTTTCTGGCGTTTGGAGAGCCACATGCAGAGACCAATCACAGAAGTGGTTTCTTCTAAGTTTGTTTTCTTGAATAGACACAATTGCGAATTAGTCCTTTTTAGAGGGACTACTTCCAAGAAAGCGGAAAACAGTCTTTGTTGCAGGCTGGTCCACTCTGGGAAGAAGTTTGTTATCAAAATCTGCTACATAGTTCGAACATTGGGGTCTTTTTTGACGGTTGGTCTCTCCGAGTAATGATAGACACATTTTTGCAACCACTAACTTGACGTCGCTATAACACAGAATCCTGAACCAGAGCACTCATGTCTAATGATATCACACCGTGCAAACGGTGCCTTCACCTCGTCAAACACTTGACATATGTAATGTAGACTCAAGGCCGCTTTAGACAGCCTTAGCAATAGAGCTGTACTTCACTAAATATAACACACACAGTGGAAGTAAAGCTATTTATAATTAGATCGCTCACAAATCTGGATATAGACTAGAGTCTCCGGCACAACACCAGCAAGCATTTGTAGGGTAATACCTTTCCAAGGGGGTTTCCCATAGTTTCACTGCCGTGCCAGCTCGAATATCGTGCCAACTGAATCATGAGGCGGCCTGTGTGCAGCACATTCAGTCGTAGAATATCATAAACGAGATTCAGTTGAGTTTCTCGTGAAGAACAAAACTGATTTGCAAATGAGTGTATTTCTCGAAAACAATCCAATTTGGGTTCAAGTAGAACATAGGGTTGACGGAATCTCGGGGACTGCGCCTACCTGATGAGCCCCAAGAAGGGCGAAACCGGTCGTGGGCTGTCGAAGAGTTTTCAGCAACATTGTGAAAACAACTATACTGGTTTATTTGTTATGGTGCAGGTTACCTAGGCGGTGGTCACAATATTAGTGTAGCCTCGGTTTATCACTGTGTTATGCAAGTATTTGTTTGTACGAAGAGAGACCATCTCCTCAACCAAGGTCTTCCCAATAGGTGGGCATTGTCCGGGAGGACTACTGCAGTTATACCGCCTGGTAAAAGCCAGCTGCAGTGTAAGTTGTACAGATAAATACACATGATTACTGCATTGCATTAAACAAAAGTGAATGCACTATTGCTGTCTGAATGCGCCGATATTCCATTCAGAATCTTAATATACTTTTCAAGGTAGAGATTGACTTCACTCACAGAAGGGAAGCTTGATAAAAATTTGATAGTAATTTAAAAAACATAGATTGTTTCCTAAGAAAGCATCTCCATCTATCTTTTCCCTTCATTTACATCCCAGGACTCTACAAAAGTGCATGGAGTGCTAAAGTCATTGTCATGTTTGTAAAGTTGCTCACTCCATTCAGCTTCCCACGGTTGCTCTGGAACTTCAGGTTTTTTCACATCAACATCCTCCTCGACTATTTTTGAAGTTCCTTCCTCCATGCCAAACGTTTCCCATGGAGCATATTCCCACTCATCTGATGGAGCGGAAGTGAAAGAAGAAACGATACTCCAGACTTGAGCAATATGAAACGTTTGATATCGACTTATTCACACAGTACAAATCATCAAGCATGTAGGTGGCATCCTGAAGGTCAAAAACACGCTTACATCTACCGAAATCGTGGCCTGGAGAGTGTGTAGAAACGCATTCAAAACACTCTTGTTCTCATAGCACATGTCAAGCTAACGATATCGCTTTCACATAAAAAAGGTGGTTTAGTAGGAGGTACTTATGAAATACGCAGACGAACATGAAATTGGTGCTTTTTTCTCCTTTTTCTCGGTTAACGTACGTTGCCTGCAGATTAACCCAAATGCACTCCAGAGAACTATGTGAAATAAAGCCTTTACAATTAATGCAGTGCTGAATTAATCCGGAATACTTAATGCAACAGAACATGTATTCAACAGAAACTGGCCATTGTCAAATTTTTCATATGTTTTAACTCTGTACGATTGGTGCACGATGCTATAGTTATTAATACTGAGATAAATGAGCACAATAGTATGCCGTCAGCCAATTACGGTCCAGAGCAAGAGGACCGAACATGAATTAACCAAGGCCCATTGTTGATGGCTTTCAATGCCTGACCAGAAAGCGTTCTCTTAGGTCAGAGGATGTACATGTGGTTTACTTTAGCAGTCTTTGGCAGTTGTTTACCAGATTAGTCTGATACCTAGTGGTAACTCATCAAATATGCATTCCTACAGACGATAACTACATGGAACTGATCATCGACCGGGCATTGATCTTGTCCGGAGGTCAGGAGTCCCTAATAGCCGTAGATCACATCGTTTGGACGGATGTGTAACGTGCAGGGCACGGACCAAACGACGGCATGCCCTGATTGGTCAGAATGCCAGCCAATTCGGATCGAGCATCTTTGACTCGACGCTTCTCGCCCCCTCACGGGGATTCTAGCACGACATTGTAGAGCACTCTGTGATTACCCTATAAATACAACTGTAATGATTTTCCCTTGTCTCTATAAAGGGCTGTGTAGAGCTACCGTACCTTTTGATAGTGGGAAGCCAAAGGACCGACACAGAGTTGCACTACCGTTTAACAGGACACAACAGCTTCATTAAACTAAACCCGCTTTCCTGGAACGTCAAACACCTTCAGCTTACAAAGAATATGACAATTCCTATCCAGCTTACGGTGTGCTGCTGTTAGAACTGACTGATTTTTTAGTGAACTCTTGTTCCCGTGGACCGCGACGGATCTGGTTGGACATTTGTGATCAGGTTACGAAGATTTTTCAATGAAAATTCACCCAGTGTTTCGAACGAGATATCAGATGTTGTTGAAGTCCCTTGCCCAAACGATGGCTTCACCTATCTGGGAGGACGGGTATGGTCCGGTGTAAATATAAATGGGACAATTAACCTTACTTTAGTGTGCTGATCAAATAACGAACCACGAGCCCCTTATCCGTAGATCGTAAATCGCTCGTAAACGGTGGATTCGGCAGAGTCTTACGGTAAAGCCAAAGTAATTTTCAAGTGAGCGTATAACTCCACTCTGTATGTGTTCGATAGCGGCAGCCTGTCTCAAGCGCAAGCGAGTCGACATAAAGTGCTAGATATACCTACAACTTATTAAATTCACAATTACACGGATATATTTTACTTTGCTTAATGTCTTCTTTCGCAAATCGAGGTGCAGATTACAGAAGCCACGCTAGTAAAATTTGCTGATCCCATAGGTTAACCCCTGTATGCCGGTCAGCACACAAACGCCAGCTATCCAACCGTACACTACACTATAAAATAGCCAGCATGTCGATTAAATGCTAACAGACCCACGGGTATTTGGCGAGTAAGCAACTGTACACACACGTTTGCCTGACAGGTTCAAAGATTAGCGAATCGGCTGTGTGCCTTCAAAGACCTTAATTAGCGTTACTAGTGTGTTCCCTCAATTAAATATAATGCAACACTCAAAACTTACTCTTTCTGCACCACCGGGAGATGATCAAAATTTATCGTACTAGTATATCGGAGCTGCCTGGGTGCAAGTCACATCCTTAATCTTATTGCTTTAAGCTTTCGTTCTGTTAGTTCGTTTCCAGGGATAACAACAATACCTGCGAATCACACCATGTTCCACGCAGTTTCGCACGATCTGGGGCAATGTGGAACCTCGTTCTCTAGAATGATGAAAGTAGAACAAACTTGTCGTTGGTTTGTTCACCGAGCTAGGCAAGCTGGCTGCAAACTTTTTGTCACCAATCAAGATGACATCATCATTGGGCCTTTGGGAAGTGGAGTGTAGCCGTGCGTGAGTGGCATTCAAAAAACAGTTTTCAAGAGCAGCTTCTCAGAATTCATCATGTCGCAGTCAGATAACTTAGGTACGGTGGCCATGTTCATTGAAATGGAACTAATAACGAGGACAGTGAGGACAATGAGAGAGAATAGACATGTAAGACAGACCACTTCGTGTCCTACCCTCTGGTCCGCACTTACTGTAGAATGATGGTGGCCTTAATTTCGATTATCCATCACACCGATTTGTCCATTAACTCGTCCACCGCAAATCTGCTGCGCAAAACCTTACAGAATAAGAACCTACCTGACCGTCTGTCATTCGATATTACGTCCTACAGCCTACTAATTCAAATCCCTCTCATCCGATTAAGTTCCGAATCACGAAAACTGATATCATGCCCAAACATATATTTTAACCAAGAGGCATTCCTAGACCTAGTCCTCCACTCAACAGGGTTCATTACTCTAGTAAATAGACCGGAAGGTAGTCATACTCAACTTCGCTTCATCACCCGGTCGAACTAATCAGGCTGTAGTCTTAGCGATCACGTGTTTTTAAAACTGGGTGGCCGAAAGACTGTCAGCTCTACTACTTCCTCGACCAACTACGGCTGATCAGAGGTTATGCATGGGGGTCCAAGTTTCTGTGGCGCTAACCTGCTGAAAATTTTGACAGGTGGGTCAATCGATCGACAATAGCAGGATTACCACTGAGTAGTAGTTCGAGCCACTGGCAAACTTATTCCACTGCTCAAGTATGGACGCTCATTTGTTCAGACGTAAAACTTTAGGTGCGTTCTGCTTACTTTGGTGGAGTAGTAGTTATATGCTCACCTCGTATATCAAATGTTTAGAGTGTATACCCCTGAGCGGCCAAAGATATACACTGCTAAGATCTCCAATAAGAGCAAAACTCGAATCGATTGGTTGTTACCTTCGGTACGAATACACTAAAATAATTGCGCAACGACAGTAGAAGGACTGTTTAAACGAGAGTGATGTAGACGTGAATTCTCTTTGTTTATGCGTGCTCAAACGTAAACAAATATAGCCCCCCACTTGCCTGTGCTTGCACTCCGCGAAGTGACTTCACAGTGACTGACGAAAACGCTGAGGCTCCGGTTGAGCCATGTTATTAACGACAGACAAGGCTGCTGAGGCAGCTATTGTGATCTGAACGGCATAAACACGCATTTTGTGAGCAACAGAAGAAAGCGGCAAAATTCTTTGGACCCATCACGATACAACTCGGCGCTTTGGCTAAGCCATGGGAATTGGCCACATCGGAAACTTATCATCCGGCGTATATGAAGTCATTTTCAGCCCAGACTGTGGAGCTCCATATTGGCCCTGGCGCCAACTTTGAGAAGATGAATCAGTTGATGAATCAATTGATGACCAGCAGGCCGAAGTACATCATACCATGCGAAAACTCGGAGCTGCCGAACACACCGCGTCCGCAGAAGTCGCATGACTACAATCTTCAACTTAAGTTTTGACAAGAGCTCATCAATCTTCATCATCTGTCACTACTGTATACAAATGTGTTAACAAGTAACCAAAGGTATTATGACAAGATGTCACACGGATAACTACTGATAATGACCAGGAACTTTCATTAGTGGTATTTCATCTCCCCACACGGGTTTTAGATATGGGTCATCCTATTCATCGATTATGTCTTTGAGCTTAAGTCAGTTTATGTTGACAGATTTCATCAGGCTGATATGTCTGCCATACTCCATACTGCACAGAAGTCTAACAACCAGCCGAAAGAGGGTGCGATCATCTCATCAGCTGAGGTTAATGCTGATATAAAACGCGTATTAAGGCAATCTCTCTGTAACATGTCGACCGCTTCCAGTACGGTTCCTGTTTTGCAAGTGATGCTGCTTTGTTCAGAGAGGATTTGCCGGACAAAAACCAGCCATTTTCTCGATGATTGGGATCTCTTAACAAAAGTGTGTACGGTATTTTGCTTCTGGTCCACCGTACAGTACATATAAGGGCTTTGATGAAACCTACCACGCAACAATAACAAACCCTTTCGGTGCATGGATACCGTGCAGCTGTAAGACGATACGAGGATTGAGGTACTATCAGATGGCCCAAAGCTAAACAGGGACAGTAAAAACCGAAATGTCAAGGCTGCTGTACATTGTGCAGAAAAATATCAATGTACCAGTGAATACGAGGGATTCTACTGAGTTTCCAGTCCCAGTAATTTCATCGTGTACACAAGCTCAAAAACGGTGGCCTGACCCAAGGAATGTCTGTTGAGTTGGCAGCATTATTTCCTCATGCACATAATGCACTCAAATTGTGTTTTTGTGAAACGGGAAGAAAATGAAAGTTCCACTGACGTCCCAAGCAAAGGGCTAGTAGGAAAAGCCACCAAACACTACGAATGCATCTAATGTTTGCCATTTTCGGGTAAGAGGCATAAAAAGGAATTTATCAATTAATAGTGAAGTAAAAGCCCATGCTGGATAGAGTGGTGAACCTTGTTGAAGAGAAAAACAAGGTACGTTTGTGTTCAGAGGGCCGATAACCAACATTTTTGTCTTCATAGAAAAGACACGAATTGTTCGTTCATCACCGGGGTGGAGTCTTCATCAGGACCTAAGCCTCTTTTGATTTCGGCTTTGTTTTGACCTGGAATACTAATTAGTGAATTAATGAACCTTTCTACTGCCTTCTTATGGTGCCTGATCTGATTACTGGATGTCATAGCGCACGAGCATTCGTACACCTCACTGGACTATGCAGACACGCAGCTCCCCCCATCCCCCGAAACGGATGAAGAAAGCCCTTTTTGAAAAGTTGGCACTTCATTTCTCTGGACATCTTGGTCACACAATAAGCGGGATAAACGAAGAAGTTCTAGTAGTTGTTCTGCCAATACACAGCTCATGAGACCACATGTTTTCACATGTGAGCATGAAGTATAGTGTAGCAAACCAGAAATTGTGGTGCCGTTTGTTCGAACAGTTGCATCTGGATACGCTGTACCTCTTTTTACTGGCTTGAAATCTTTTGTCAACACCTTTTCCAGTAATAAAGGGGACTCAGGCAACATTACCTAACTTCAGTAGAGCTATGAAAAATTCCTAAGAAGTAAATATGAAAACTGAAAAATTGTCCGTCCCTTGTTATTTGTTACTGACCAAGCGGGATTTCTCGAGGCTTTACTTACTTACAAGTCTCCAAACCGCCGGCTGCATGAAACTCTTGTATTTCAGTAGACGCCTCACAAATCGATCCTCGTATGTTTCAAGTTGTTCAAGTTTCTCTTCTGGCGTTTCCTCTCCTTGTTGCTTTTCTTCTCCTTCGAGATCGTCCTGGGCCTGCTCACCTGCATCACCAACTATGGACTGTGTCCTCCTGAACTCAAGCGTTTCCGCGTCAGCTAGACTCTCCTGCTTGAATCCTTTAGGCCATGGTGGTAGAACGACACGCGCTTTTGATGGATCAATTCCAGATGCTTCGGCTTGTTGGCGAAGGCGGTGAGCCAGGTAGGCGGTGCTTCCTTCAAGAATGATTACGTGATGCGGAGTGAGCAGGTGATGGTAACCTGGATGTTTTTCATCACCTACTGTGTCCTCATCGTCGGGATTAGCTGGAATAAAAATGGTGATCGGCGAAGTTTAGTTGAAGTAATGAATTGGGGATGCAATGGCCTAAGTAATTACCACTTGTGAAAGTCTTCAGAAAAGCTTATCGAAATGATTGACTGGTGAAAGGAAGAAGGCCTTCGCTGCGGAGTTATTTATTAGAAAATACCAACTCACCGACCAACTCACAGATCGTTGGACAGGGAAGCAAAACTCTCATTTGCATCTTATTTGCAAAAACTGGACATCCACCTTCTCCTGAACGCGTCTTCTTGAACTTTCCTGGAGATTCATTGACTCCAATCATTTCTCGCTCAAATCCAAGCAAATGTTACAAAACGACTCCACAAATTCCGCAACAGATCTCCCCTTTTCAAGAGACGCAAAGCAAAATCCCACGAACAACACATACCACTCGCGTGCCTCCCCATCAATAGTAACACCGTTACACCGGTAGACAGTCCTTACTGCCTTCCTGAATTGACAGTTTTGTGGTTCGCCACTCATTCTTTGGTTTGGATTGCTGAACTGCTCGTTTTTTCATTGCTATTTTAAACTTTCTTTGTGTTATCTCGCATTGTATCGTTTTTCATGCCATTTATTTCTAATTTTATGTGTTTACAAACAACCCCTCCCCCAACACTATGGATATTCCGGAACGCTAGTGATGACTCTCCGCACAGACAGAACTCAATAACTGGAACCACTATCTGTCCACACATGTGCCTAAGGTGCGATTAATGATTGGTGCACGTCGTATACCGGACTTTCGCGCACACACTGAGTCACAACTGTCTGGTTACCAATTATGGACTATCAACTAAGAATATTGTCCGGGGAATCACCGCCAATAAGGTTTACAGTACTCGAAAATAGGTCGCCACTGAAACAGAGAGGTTGTCAATTATCACATTTGGTTTGATTGCTCTCTCGAGTTTACTTTAGGCGTATCGTACAGCGTTGTATTGTTTGAGTCGTTTTCCTCATTATTTTATTCAAGTGTATTATTATATCCCTACAGTACCTGCCCCAATATTCCGGATATTTCGGAGTGTTGGACCTACGACGCGGCTAGGGATGACTATCTCGCCGCGGTACAGATCAAGCTGAAAAGCGGCTAACACTGATTAAACAATTCTGTGTCATTGTCGCGTCCTATGCATAGCGCGAACCACTGAGCCACCTCAGGCACTCACTAAGGGTCCCAGTTATTCAACTGTGTGCACTTAACTTGATGACTAAAGGCCATCAATTAGGTTTTTTAAAAGCTTTAGAGCTTTCTACTTTTGTTCAACCTCTGGTCTTATTTTCCCGGATTAACACGAGGTACAAGTCGTCCACTGTGTATGCGACTCAGCACAAACCGAATGCAGTTTGAGGTTCATTGGTTAAGTACGATTTGACAGGCTCACCCGGAAGAAAATAACAGCCTCCAATACAGTCCGTAAATTTGATCGTCCTCTGAATGCCCACTGCGAAAAGTGGTAACCTGTAGTAACCCAGACTGATTGTGATATTAATCACGACGGCGAAACGGCTTTATTGATAAAATGTAACTCATAATATGGTAGGCAAAGGCCTTAAAGTTTTGTCCAAAATTGATTATCTGGAACCTTGTTAATTTTGAGCTTGGCACGTCTTTCCACATTTGTCATACCTACTGTCCTATATGATTCTTTATTGTTTGATTCTCTGCCCGCCTACGTGGAGTTTAGTAGTAAACGTAGCAAAGCCATGATATTATTTCATTTGTTTTGATTTTATTTTACACTGAGCGTTCCTTTAGCGTCTCATTTATGCCATTGACAACGATCGGTTGCCTGTTGTGTTTGCAAACAGAGCTGACCCACTGTTATTGTTGAAAGTACTCAAAATGATCTGAGCAGCCTACACCCAGCTCACCGAAGGAAACTAAACTGATTTTAGAGAATCACCGTCCGGGCCTATATCTTCAATGCTCATTTTGCTAGTAACCAGTTCCGATTATTTGAGGCTCACTTTCAAACTTCAGAGCAGCTTCAATTTCGCGTCATAAGGTGTGAAACTTGGAAACCTAGGTGTATTCCACTTTGATTTATGTAGGCGTTCACCCAAGGGCTTCATTTGGAAGAAACAATAAACTATGAACTTACGTTTGAATAGGAGTTCCGCTTGTTCGAGTGTTTTCGGGAAGCCATCAAGAACGAAACCTTGGTTCTGACATGGACGTGTTGTGAGTTTTTGGATAATGAGGCTAAATAGGACGAAAGAGGAAAGCTGTTACATTTTATAGTATATCTTCGGGTTGCTCCTTTTCCTTCCCAAGTACAGTTATGCACAGAATACGTTTAACAGAATTTTCAGTTCCATGAATTGAGACAGTGTCATTTTTTTCACTCTTCTTGTAATTATATTGTCTACAGCTGTGCATATTCATCGCCATTGGCGTTTTTCAACCACGCATTTTTCAACTAAACATGGGATTCCATGCACTGCCAACTTGCGTTAACGTCTAGAGGGAGACCGGAAGGAGCTAAAACTCACGGTAGCACCACTGAGAAGCAACTCCTAACGGGACCAAACGTATGACGTACTCCTGAGTTTTATCCATATGTTCATCATCGATAGCATTGCATCAGCGTTCAACACTGTCGTGTTTTTCTTTACAACCCAGATTAGAATCCAAGATCAGCTTGGTTTCTCACAACACAGCCAAGCTATTGCGGTGTGAATATCGGCTTCATGGCCTTTGTAATCTGCGTAATACTCATTATACTCTTGGTTTTAGTAAAGTAAAAAGTGCTAAGTTACGGTACCATAATTGTAGCGTTTTCAGGTGTCATACAGAGTTCATTGATCCCTCTTCGCCGTTCAGCCGAATAGGCGGGTCCATTCATTCATGATTAAATGGTTCAATGGTTCATTACAAACTGTATTCAGTTAGCTAGCGTGCGTGGTAAAAAAAACCCTCAATTTCGCGCCTATAGCACTCTCGTATGAACTGCCATCCTCATTACATGGTGCTGTCATTCTGTTGAGATCACACCAAAGAAAGGAAGCACTAAGACTCGAGGTTCGCTTTTATTAGAGTTCACCAGCAGTGCATATCCTTGGCCGTGCTGGAGTTGTAACAACAAGCATCTCACAAGCGAGGTGAGTGTGGTACAACGACTCCACCAACTCACTCCGGATATATCTGAATTTTCAAGTCTAAGCTGGTGAATGATGAGATTGACTAACCCGATGGCTCGAATGACCACCCAGTAACTGCTCTGGATGAGTCGATCGAATGGCCCGTCTCTCAGGACTTCCTAGACAGGTAGCCCCACAGACGCTTGAAACCTGCTGGACGATTCTTGTAAATCCAACAAACATCTACGACTAATCTAGAAAGATCACAATTTTAGGCGTCTATGAAGTCCTGAGAGGAGGTGCAATCGATCGAAACAACCAGGACAGTTACTGCGTAAACGAATCAAACCACGCAAGCGTTAACGTGTTCGCCCGTCCAGACGTGAAAATTCGGATGCGTCCAGTGTGCACTGGTAGAATAGTGGTAACAGGCTCGCCCTGAATATCAGATATACGGAGTTCAAACCCCTGCACGGCCAAGAATATGCACCGCTGATGAGTTCTAATAAGAGCGAAACTCAAATCCAGTGCTTCCTTCTTTGGTGTGGACTCATCACAAGATTGCACAGAGGACAGAAGGATGGCTGTTAAGAAGAGTGTGATGTGAACGTGAATTTCACAAATCAACCACTACGTTCCTTTCTACCAACTTCGTGATGGTGGTTTTTACCGGGTCACTCTTTGAACAAAGTCACACGAATGATGATGGAATTAGAGCAAAACGAACTAAAATGAAAAACGAATCCAGTAAACCACCTTGTTGCCTCACAAGAAAATTTGGTAACATGCAATACTAGCTTGACTGCTACGTATCCTATTCACGACAAACACCAAACAAGGTAACGAAAACAAGAAGATATTCACGAATGATATATGAGAGATGACTTATCTCATCCTCATATCAGCCTATGCTTTTGGGAGTGGATGGTATGGACATGTCACTGACCAGTTTAGAGGGCCAAATTATGTGCTAACCGGATCATTTTGATGTATTTTAAAGTGAAGTCAGCAACTGACGATTTGGAGAATACTTTCAAGAGTCAACAAAGATGAACCGTTCGTAGACCTTTGTTAAGCTCTAAGCTACTTCAAGTGCTGGGTTTCTTCGGGCCAATTGACTTGGCAAATGGTGCCTCCACGTCACTAGGTGTAGAAATATATGGAAGTGACACAGGTTCAGACTAGTCAATTTCACTTCAGTTGAATCATAAAGAGTGAAAGTATAAATTTCCACCCTTGATTTATGTTCATGGTAGTTAACCAGATAATTATTTAGTCCAGCTTGGTTACCCTCAAAATTTATCAACTACCTTGCCGCCTAAGGACCAGAACAAACTGTTAGACAATCCAAATAAGTTTAATAATTAGTAATACGGCAAGATGTCTTCAGCAGTGGATATGGTAATCCTTTCCAAAGAGACATCCCCGAACGGGGGACACTTCCCTGAAAAGTTTTAAATAGAACTTCCCGGAGCGATTGTCCAAAAGAAGCCAGTTCCTCCATGAGAAGCCATATGACAGGTATCCACGCAGTGGTCTCGTGAGAGCAGGCTACCGTACAAGAATCATCTGTCCACTCAAAGTCAAGTCGATAAACAATCGAGCTAATTTATTCTATCCAACTTCGCTTACTAGGTGTTCCATTCTGAAGCTGATTCGTCGTCAGTCATTTCGGTCAGTCAGTCTACTAGTCTTTTCTTGTCTAGGTACTTTTCAGTATTAAATGTCCCTGTGATTTCTGTGAGGATTCTTTTTTGTCGCAGGGATTGGGATGGTGGCTAGAGGAGGAATATATGCCGCTCTAGGGCGTCATGAAGCAGAACTGTTCACCGGTAACGGAGTTCCTCAGCAGTACATCTGGATCAATTATTTTGAGCTGTCGCAAGATGGTACAATAGCATAACTACTATCGCTCAAAAACTTTGTTAGCTAACACTTTTTGTTCAAAACGAGCTGGTGATTTGCAATGCCAAGTGAAACTTTACCAAGTGAGACTTTATTACTTGCCAGCTGGTCCGTCTGCAATTACAATGAACTCAAGAATTGTCTGGTGCAAATTTAGTCAGTGAATATGATCCAAAAGAATAGACCTCATCAAATCAAGTGCGTCTTCTCCGTCGTCGCTCGGGAGGACTTAGTCGACACACACACAATGTGCATCTTAGCCGGTTAGGGATGCATGACGTTATAACCTATACATGTTAGGCATTTAGATTACTTACCAGTGGCTAAAATTTAAAGTGTCCAACAATCACCAAAAAGGTTACCATTATGATTCCTGGAAATTATACTGACACACACCAATGATAATTTCAAATAATGGCAAATTAGCCGCACGGCGCTCGTCGACTTTTTAGGATAGACTGTCGTCTCACAGGAAGAAATCCAAGCAGCTTAGGAAGGACAATGTCACAGTTAAGGCAGCACTTTCAAAGATGTACATCATACTTTCACTGCAAGTAAAACCACTTACCGAACCAGTGTCTCATCGTTCAGGCGGCCATCCTCGTCTGTGTTTTCAATTAAAATCTCAAGTTGTTCCTGCGCATCAGCAACTAGCATTTCTAATTCCTCCTCAGTCCTCCATGTGGGCGCCGGGGTTAACGGATAGTATTCAAGGTCATTCATGGCGTCGGTGAAGGTGGAGCGGCGGATTGAAGGCACTTCATCTATGCAAAACGGAAGATAGTTAAAAGGAATTGTTGGCGAAATGAAAATGTGAGTGAAATACTTCGGTTCATGTGATCTTTTTCATTGTCCCCTTCGGACATATTTTCAGTCAGCGAAATGTTCCGTTAGGACCCATATTCATAGAGCAGCTCGATGTGCCAAGGATGAACATTCCTGCGCGACTCTGATGTGGAACTGATCCACTATCATAAAAAGCGGATAGACTACTCAAGCAGATAGTTATATGCTCATTACAAGTCAAGATTAGCAGGAATCATGGCTTTTTTGAAAATTTGGGTACCACCAATTATTGTTCCATCGATCAGAACAAATGAGTTGCAGTTCCGGACGGACGAGGGGCCAAGCCGTGACCTGAACGTGTAAATGAATATAGAATAGAATTACAACACGCAGTTACCAATGTCGTTCCTATACGTATACAAAAAACACTTCCAGCGGTACTCTTCCTCAGGTCCATCCATCTCTGAGGTGTTCGCATCTCGGAAGCTTGCTTTCATAGTATTTTTCATGCCTAAATTTTGCGACATCTTTTTCTAAAAAACCGTGCGTACTACCATTAGCATGGTCACAAGGGTTATGGTATCTAAGCCCTCCTGCTTACTTTGAGTCTTAACATAACTCTTTCTTTTAGTTCCCGTTCACTCATGGAATACAGTTAAAAAGTTTACCGGTACACAGTTGGCTGAAATGCTCTAGTATTTATTTTATTGGTCTGTTTGCCGGGGCTTGTAATTTGGATTGGGAACAAAACTAGATTACCAACTAAATTGCTAAGCCTGGTAAACAGACTAATAACCAAACAGCACATGTTCCGTAACATCGTTATACCCTTGTATGCACCATTACAGATCTGGCGTACGAACAAACCATGCCACACCTGTTTAATAGAAATAGGATTTTTGACCGGGTAAGGTAGTCCCGATCAGATGTGCTGATTTGGATTTTTCAGTAGGATTATCTTCAGCGTAGAATTTACAGCGAGATGCTTGAAATCATTGGAAACTTGAGGTGCAGATTAGGGAGTTTAATTCCCTGATAACTTCTGACATGGCAGAAAGTTACAATATTATGTGTAGTAAGTGCTTTGGTTCATGTGTACTATGTTTCTATTCCTCAGCTAAGAAAAATAGAGGCCAGATATCAGCATGATGGAACTCTAACACGACTATTATTTCGAACAATTCAAGAAGCATTTAAGCATCCGGCTACAGAGTTCCTTTGTACGGTTGAGAGGACCAACAAGAACATTCAATAGGATGTTTGGCATTTGAAACTGGACACTCAGACAACTCAGTTGTTTGGGCACGGGCAACTAGTTACGGTATCTACAAATGGCTTTTAGACATTTCCTGATGATAGCACAGTCCCGTATCACTTTTGAATCGTCTGATAGTTCTCTACCAGAAGTGTGCTACTGGTAAACCATTTAAATTGATTATGAGGCCCAGTTGATACCCACTGGTTGAGCTGCACACATTGAAGCTTGAATTGTGTGCTACCCTTTCTACGTCTACTGACGAATGGCTAGTGTTTCCTCTGCATCTACACAGATTCCTGTTAGGAACTTGATATTTTATAAACCTGACAGCTTGAAAGACCATCAAATGTTTACGATGAGGATGCAGTAAGCTCGAAATTCTACAGAGACCTCATGCATCAATAATTTGGGACTGTCAGCCAAACCATCTCCTCTCCCGACGTGTTCAGGCTAAAGCGAGCACATTCGTGTGGCCGGGATTTCTGTACTGAGCTCACCTCACTATATAAATCCGGGAGAATTGGAAACTTATAATTTCGGCAAACACTTAGCTATTTGTTAATACTGACTACTTGGAAAAAACAATCTGGCCATCAGTCAGGTAACTAAAATCAGTCGAAACCTATTAGAATCAGTACTACTACAATGGACACGATTATTATTCCCTCAGCGGTGGCTGTGAGAGCCGCAACCAAAGCTTGTCGAAATTGGGTAAAAGAAGCATTAAAGCAACCTAATGTGGGGTAATCTCTAAAATGATGCTACGGTAAAACTAACACTTTGTTGTTCCATGGAGTGGGACCGAAATTTGAGCCAATGCACGAAGACAGCTACAGGACTGTATGGGCTCGGAACCATAATCTAATGCTTGCGGAAGCGCCGATTGGGGTAGTAGACAAATCTGTCTATCTGGACAGCTGTGCCAGTCCCGGTAGTCTCGCAGAAGGTGATATTTCCATCCGGATTGGGAATGTTAGAGTAGCTTTTGTGAACCTGCTTCACCTGTGGCGTAGGCGTGACATCAGCTTAATTGACAAATATCGAGTCTACACCGCTGCGGTGAGCTCCATATCACTAAACGGATCAGAAACGTGGTCGCTGAACTCCGAGGACGCCCAAAGATTTTCAGTGTTTGACCATCGCTGTCTTCGGTTCATTGCCCGAGTCTGATCGGAACACCGGATCAGCAATGCTGAAGTACGTTGAATGGTATTTGGAGAAAATAACTCACCCTCGATAGATGTGCTGATCAAACTGCATAGTTTGGGCTGGCTTGGCCACGTGCTCCGTGGGCCAGTTGACCAAATTCCTTGAAGGGTTCGTTTAGCACAATCACGTGAAGAATAGAAACGAACCAGGGGCGGTCAAACGATGGCTTTGCAGCGAAGTATAAAGGCCATTTACCAGAAAACTCAGCCGCACTGGTCATTACCGTATCCTTGGATAGGGATCCCGAGACAGGAGATATTGGTGTTTTGAGACATTGCTAGACAGGCATCAGTCTTGGCTTTAATCGCGCCTACGCATCCAAGCTATTGCCTTCAACGTATAGCTCCCTTCCCAACCTCCCTATTTAAAAGTCCACTGACAACCCTGTATTTACATATCAATAGTGTCAGCTCCCGTCTCCAATGCCCGACTACCTACTCCACCTCCCCAAATCATCGGTGAACGAAACTGTGGCAGCCACAATCACTGTACGACAATGAGGCGGTTCTTACAACTGATAGTGATGATTATGATGATTACAACGATAGCTCACGAATTCTTGCCGATGACAACCTGAACAGCTTAGAGATACACGAATTTGGACACTAAATTTGACTCTCTTGGTCACTGAACTGTTTGGAGAATTTTGAAGTACAAAATTCTAGCAGGAATACGATCAAAGCTGGAGGTGAATTTGGCGTTATTGAAAGGTGTGTCTAGCGTGACGATTATCACGGCAACGGTCTTAAATTTTGTGAAAGTACAATCAAGATCGAGGTTAAGTACGCTACCGGATTGTCGTCTAAAACCAGACTGCAAAGACAAACTGTTTGTTACCACATCCTGATTATGGCAGAGAAAATGCTCTGTGTTGAAATAGTAGCCGCTACTACATGCTAGCTCGCCTTTGATCAGGTAACCGTCAACCTGTTCACTAAGCTCTACAATGAATTCGCAAACACCTTATCACCATAAGAAGGAAACATTGCCAGAGTGCGGTTGGGTGGGTACGTCCTCGACGTCTACTTGCTTCTATAAAATATATAAGTAGTGTTAAAATATTCTGACCAGGTGTTAGGAGTTTGATTTGCATGCGATTCAACTGATGCCGCTGGAATTGATGTTGCACTGCGCTCCGATTTAATTGTCCTTGATTCGTGAGCACCACTTCTTCAGCAGTTCTGTTCCACTGTATGCTTGCGACCCCGCGGAACTAAATACAATAATTTCTCATTCACTATCAGAGTGAAGCAGGGTTGTGTCTTACCCCGACCCCCTTCGGCCTCTACTTAACATCCATCTGCACAGACACTCCGCCATTACGGTGACAATAATTCAATAACAGTTGCTTGGTCACCTCTTCAATTTGAAACGTTTCTCCACCAAAACACTATTTCGCGGGTCAAACATCCGAATGCTGCTTTTTGCATACCATTGTGACTTGTGTTCGTTTTCTGAAGTGGAATTACAACGACTCAGTGGCGTCTCGGATTGACTTGGATACAAACATTTCTGAAAGGTTTTTCTTTTATCAGCCTGTATATAGGATTCAACAGAAGATACCGCATATTCTGCTAAATGATTGTGGGATAGGAAGCTGCACGGACTCCTACTAGCTGGACATCACGCTATCCACATATTTGACATTTAACAATGAAACAAACGTGTGAATTGCAAAAGCCAGTCCGATATTTCGTCTTTCTGAGAAATGCGTCCGGAGCAATCATCGCTTCCGTATTGACACCAAGATCGTAGTGTATTATGTTGTTTTGCCATCTTCACTACTGTGTGGCAGTCAGACCAGGCCACCATACAGAAGAAATGTTCGAGCTCTTGTCAGATTTAATTTGCAATGTCTGCGGAGGATCGTTCCAGTAAAATAGGTAGACCAAATGCGCAGGACACCAGTGCACTTTGGAAGCTGAGTGGAGTTCCGCTGAAGCCTACGTCCCTGAACGCGCTTTCAAAAACTGTTCGCTGTCAGCCGAAGAGCTGAAGGGTTTGAAATTATGGATTTCCTAACTTCCACCACTGAAACGATTTTCGATACAGTATAAAACACGTACCTTGTATTTTAGGTCATGCGATTACCTCTCACTGGAACGTACTGCACCGTAATCAACTATTCATACAGGAGTAAGGTTTGAGGAGCGATGCGCTACACTATTGAGAAATACGCGAGCCATTTGGAAGGGACTAGATCTTCCAAAGCAAGTGCCTTGTTATGATCGGCCTTGTGGAACAACATCGTACTTGCAAGTCCGTCTGCTCAGCGTAAACTTTTGGAGCCTAGTTAAAATTGCTCCGTTTCTAATGAGTGCCCACTCAACATTGTCACCTTAAGGGTTACGATATAATTAGCGGCAGAATTAATGGTACGTAGCCAGGTCGTCCACTACCATTTTGAGGTTGTGTTATTGGAGGGCTTTGAGAAGCACGTGTATAGTTTATTACTAGAAAAGTGCTTAAACCTAGAGAAATTGACGGAGGAAGCCGGTACTCTGATAATAACAAGTCTAATGATATCGATGTCTGTATTGGTAGAAGACTATGCAGAAACTGAAGCATGTTACACGGCAACGCTGTCAGGCATTACCTGTCTGAGTCTGGATCAGTCGCGTGACCAATCATCATGGTATTACGCAGTGTACGACTGAAGTTTAAAATAAGTCCAGGTTATTCAGTCAGCCAGCCTCATTTGTTTTATTCAGCAATGTACATAAACAGTCGGTGTACTGCAAACAAATAACGAAACTATCAAAATCCGAAACAGCCACACTCAGGCGAATTTGAACAGTCACTGCAGGATTCGGAACGGTATCCAGGTGGGCTGGCTTTTCAGTGATGGAAACGCAGTGATTTTATTTCTAGGACCGTACCAAAGTCTTGTGTTAATCAGCTTTGCGGGTCATGATGGGGTTCACTGTTACGCCATCATATTTGGGCTGGCTGACGTTTTGCAACAGTCCTCTGAGCCTTCGTTAGCCGTACTTACACCTCCGGTAAAGCATTCGTGCCAAGGGTTTGCTCGCTGCGCAAACTGTCTCTGGCTTTGTTGGTAGTGTGAGGAGATTTGAGATTTTTTGGAGATTTCTTCCTGTAAGTGAAGCCAATCTATGCTGGAAAGCCGAGAAGCACTGTACAGCTGTTTCATCCTTATTGGGAATCATCAGCAGTGCGCATCTCACGAAACTCTGAAGAGTCTCGATCCCGCGACTTCCCGGATAGTAGATTGAACACTTAACCGTTCGGCCACGAGTGGCTGATCAGCAGTGTGATTAACTCGCACTTAGACAGGATATAGCGCCGCTCATCCTTCAATCATAGGATCCACATCACGCGGTCACACGTGTTGCCTGGCTCCTCGAGCAACGACTTCTCAGATAGAAGTTTCACTCATCGGGTGAAGTTTATTCTTCCACTGAGCTACTTATATATTGTTGGTAGTGTGAGGAGATATGGGATTATTGTGGGTGTCTGTGGCTTTCTTTTGTGCAGGGGTTCAGTGCTTTTACTGATGAACAGTATCTTTGATTCCGATGACAATCATACAGGTGTACTTTACTTGGACTGTAGTTCCGAGTTCTGTCACCGCGATTTCTCAGCCCTTCTTGGGTCAATGAAAAATCAACAGAAAGGAAGTTCCAAACCCAATGAGGACGAAGTATTCTAACGAAATCTGATGAAATGATGGTTCCCACAGAGTGAATAGTTACGAACACAAAATTCTTAGGGAGCAACTAAACGTTATTTGCATTTTATTGCCCCGGCTGATTCTTTGCATCCCCAGTTAAAAATTTACTTTCTATAGAGGAAAATGTTGGTAGCTACTTTCTATAAAAATGTTGGTAGCTCAGGTATCGTAGATGGTGGTCGTTGGCTTGTTCGCTGAGCTGGGCAATTTGATTGCAAACGTTTCTTTCATAATCGAGGTGACATCATCCGTGAGTTATTGTGGAGCGTAGTAGTGCGTAGCGGTGGGTTGGTGGTTGTGCACTACTACGCTCCACAATAACGCACTGATGATGTC